TCCAGATTGTTCTCATCATTACTCAAAATGAGCAGGAGATACAGGGTACAGAGAAAACAAAATCATGGAGCACCAGGAAACTTGACTGCTTATCAATTCACAACCCACCTACCACATGGTCTTAATTAAGGTTTGACTGTCAGTTTCTCTAAGAAAAAACCCTGGCAACACACCAAATATCCAGAGTAAATGGAACAGAAGGGTAGTTGAGACAGAGGTCTGAGATGGGGGTTGGAGGTGAGAGCAGTTTCTGCTATTCGAAGTTATTCTTCATTCTCTTGGTGTTTGTTAGAGTCTCAAAATGAAAATTTTGCTAAAAACTGTTTTCTGGGTCACAGTCCAGGAGACTAGGAGAAAATCTCTAGCTCCGGGGATGCTGGAGGCACAGATGTTTCTACTTATTCCTACTTCCCTGTTTAAGGCCTGTCACCACGTCAACCCTTGCCGTCTTACCTGGTTGACCTGCTTGAGCCATTTGCACCCCACTGAGCATTGACTGCTGCTGGCTTGGAGCACCTGTCATTTGCACCTGCTGTAACCCTGAGGTTCCTGCAAGGATTGTTCCAGTTCCTGGCTGGCCTGGCTGGCCAGGTCCGCTGCTGCCTGAAGGTCTCCAATTAGACAATCCCTTTCCAAACGCAACTGCTGCCACCAAGGCATTGGTGTCTGCAGGGTTAAAGGTTTGCTTGTTCGGCCGGAGACCTGAAGAAAAAGGTGAGTGAGGACCTTGGGGTATAGCTCTGGCCCTGGACTGAATGCAGCAGTCTGAAAACCCATATGAGCATCAGAGCTTGGAATTCTGACTTCAGCAGCATCCAGACTCCCTGGTGGCCTAGAGGAGGAGCCAGAGGACCCCCCAAAATCATCTCAGAATTCTCCCTTTTCACCCATTTCCTCCACCTTCTCCAGGGCTGGCCTTAAATAAAAAGGACTAACAGAATGGATGTAGACCCTTTCCTAAGGAGCTCATTCTTTTCTTTTCTTTTCTTTTCTTTTTATTTTTTAGCTACAGTATTCCGTCTTTTACTCCCATCCCAGCCCCCCCCCGTGCCCCCCACCTCCCTCCCATTTCCACCCCCCTTAGTTGTTGTCCATGTGTCCTTTATACTAGTTCCTGTAAATCCTTCCCCTTTTTCCCCTGAAATTCCCTCCCCTCTCCCCTCCAGTCGCTGTCCCCCTGTTCTTTATTTCAGTGTCTTTGTTTTTATTTTGCTTGTTTGTTTGTTTTGTTGTTTAGCTTCCTGTTAAAGGTGAGTTCATATGGTATTTGTCTTTCACCGCCTGGCTTATTTCACTCAGCATAATGCTTTCCAGTTCCATCCAAGCTGCTAAGGAGCTCATTCTTACATCCTCATTTCACTACTACCAAAATCACCATTCCTGTAGAAGTAATCTTATTCCTCTTTCCGTCTCCACTTTGCCACTGATCCCTCCATACCTCCACTCTCTGATTCTCGTTCCTCTTTGCTGATTTTCTCCAGAAGGTTTGAGCACATTTTATTCAAGCTCTGGATCTGCTTCTATAACACAAAAATTGGTGCAGAGATTAGGGCAAGCAAGAGGTGATTGTGGGGAAGTTGCTTTCTTATGTCCCTCTAGGGGCAATTTACATGCAACCAACTGTGCATCTCCACCCAACAGCAATGGTAATGCCTGGGTTCTCACGATGGGACATGGGGAGTGGGGGGCAGCAAGGCGCACATCAGCCCAACCTGAGCTGCATCAGCACCAATTCGGGCAGCATCTGTTGTCAGCTGCTTCTCTTGCTCTTCAACCTCAGGGTCAGGCTTGGTTCTCAGATGGTCAGGGACCACCTCATGGCTGAAAACAGGTACTCGTCCTTCGGTCTGCCGCTGTTAAACACAGATTTTATTAATCCTCCTATGCATTCCAAGAAGATTCAATCTGGCCTGATATATATTGTGGTTCTTGCCACAGGCAAACAGTGCATTTTCAGGAAAAACACATCCTAAGACTTATAACATTTAGCTTCCTAGGACACTCTATCCCTCATTCTTTCTGTCTCCTCATGCTCCTGTATCTACTGGACACAGGAGCAAATCTCTCTACTATATTTTTATCAAACACTGAAATATACAAACTCACAAAAGAACATTTTTTTAAAGATCATTTATTTATTTATTTATTTATTTTTAGAGAGGGGAAGAGAGGGAGAAAGAAAGGAATGGAAACACTGATGTGCGAGAGATATATCAATCGGTTGCTCTCTCATGCCCTCAACTGGGGACCTTGGCCTGCAACCTAGGCATGTGTCCTGACTGAGAATCCAACCAGTGTCCTTTTAGTTCACAGGCCAGTGCTCAATCCACTGAGCCACACCAGCCAGGGCAGAACATTTTTTGCTCAAGATAGGTATTCAAGGAGAAAGGTCTTTGCCTTGGTGACAGTCCTCAGATGTATTTGGGAGCAGCTCCCCAACTCCAGAAGGACAGAAAGCAAGGCCTCCAAAAGGCAGCCCTCACTTTTTACTGCCACACACTACTGCACATTCAGAAGTTCTAGAATCCCCAAACAACAATTGTGCTCTAGGTCCTCATCTAAGAACTTTATTTCCCAAGTTGCACCTTTCTTCTCCTCTTACCATGAGATCTTCGTCCCGGTCTGGGGACAACACCAGAGGGATGATGACCTGGTTACGGAACAATGGTGTCTTTTCATGCTTCAAGACCTTGTTCAGAGTGTTCAATTGTCCAGACAGCAAGGCAAAGCTGTCCAGGACGGAGGGCCTGGTGGCAGTAAGAAGGTGTCAGAACGCTCCCAGTAGTCTCAAAGGAGTCCTTCAGATCAGGAATACCCAGATTTACCCCCCAAAGACTCACAGCCCTATGGCTTGAGTGGGTGGGAACCAGACTGGCTTATAGGGATTGTTAGGTTAGGAAAAAGGGACACACTTTCAGTTTCTGACACAGATGGAGGAAAAAGGCAGTTCATTATCTGAATGGGGTGGGGAAGGGTGGCAAAATAAGAACCATGGCTACACTGTTATCACTAAAAATTCAGAAACTGAGTAAAAGCCTCCTTTGTGGCCTAGAAATAAAATCCATACTTCCAGTGTAGGCTGGACTTGAAAGACTCACCAATATCTATGGCAAGAGATCCAGTGTGGCTTTTGTATCCCTACTGTAGCAGGGAGGACCCACTGAGGAAAGATATCTTCCCAGTGAGGTCAAAGAATGAGAATCAAAAGTACAAAGAACCTAGGTTGGGAAACTGTATGCTTCTCTATGTCCTTGCCATGGAGGCCCTAAGCTACACTTCACTTGTTAAATATTGGGCAACCCAGCTCTTAACACATCATAAGATGTTTGCAAACTGATAAATGGTTACACCACTGGAGATGTACTTGTCCACCGGGAGGCCTGGTCCCCCATCCATGGAGCCCTCCCTAGGTCGCCCTGGCCACCCTTACCAGGTCAGCCGGTCATACTCGTTCTCCAACTTGTAAATGAAACTCCCCAGTGAGTTCTTCAGATCAGCCACTTGACTCAGCAGTGCATCTAATGATGCCTCAAGCTGCTTCTCCTCCCTCTGCACCAATAGAAACAGGTCGATTACCCGGATGAGTGTGCGAGTATGACATCCACATACAGGAGGAGAGCAAGCAACACTAGTCAAGTAACACAGGATCTCATTTGCATGAGAAAGCCAGGTTGTTTTCTATCTTCAGTATTTAGGTTACAGGCAAGGTCAACCCTTGGCCCTTTCAACCCGTTCACCTGATTTCAGTTCCTCCTACTAGCTGATTCCTTTCTCTCATCACCTCCTCAAGCATGACTATTTTTTCTCTGTGTGAAGTACACTCTAGTCTCTCTGAGAACTTTTTTCCAGACCTAAATGCCTTGGGTTTATTATCTTTCTGTGTACCTCTGCAGCATATTTACTCTTCTGTCCTAGAACTTGCCTTCTGAGCTGGGCTTTCTTGTCAGTGGCACACAATCTGTGAGAAATCTACCAGCACATGAAGGTCTCTTCTGAATGCTGGCCTTGCACCCCACACCCCCTGTCCCATTTCACTTGCCTTCAGCATTTGCTGATTCCACCTCCTCCTTCCTGAATTAATCTGCACCCATTTTATTTCTGTGCCAATATTACTGTACTCCTTTCATAGGTTACATTTACTGACAGACCACAGGGGCAAGAAACTAAATGACAAATGACAAACAATCCCCCCCAATATTCACATGTCCTAAGCAGTAGACAAACAACTGTAAATGCGGGGGGGGGGGGTGTCCGCAAAGCAATTTCTCTCCATCCGTGACCTCCAGTTCTACTTCATCCTTAACAACTATCGGGCATAGATTGTGAAACAGTTTTGCAAACTCGCCATGTGCAGAGCAGGAGCCCTGATCCTGGGTTCTACCCACGGCCTCAGATTATAATTAATTCAGGATTTAGCCAGTTTCGTCCCATTTCTTCACCTCCGGCGTCTCTCCAATTACAATCCCCTGTTATTTCTACATCCAACGGCATCCACCCAACAAGCGAAGCCGGGCCGAGCCAACGCGCCACTTTCTCGCTTCTTCCTTAGATTAACATCTCAGCCTTCCAAATTACAACCTGATCCTTCCCCACACTCCAGCAAATCAGTGCTGCTTCCTCCCTCCCGATTTAGCCACAGCCTGTCTCCAGCCAACAGGGTTCCCAACCCATCAAATCTTCACCTCTTCTACTCAGTAGGCCTTGCCCCTCCACACCACGTTCTTACGCGCCAGCCGCCAGCTCTGCACCCTCCTCTCACCCCAACTTCTAATCTCCCCCCATTCAACCACTCTCCGTCCAGCAACCTGAAATTAATTGGCAATCAAGAGCCCCAAACCGGTACTCACCTGCATAGCGGGGGCAGTGTCAGCGGCAACAACCTCCTCTTCCTGTTTGCCAGTCAGCTAGTCAAGTAAGTGGGCTCCTTTCACCAATCAGAGAGCTCATAACTCGTCCCGCCCATTCATTTCCGTCCCGCCCTTTCATTACCTGCGCAGGCCCGGTGCGAGGTAGCCGGGTCAGGGGTCACAAGTGGGACCTCTACTCTGGCTCGGGCCTGCGCCGGAGCGCAGTGGGATGGCCTCGGAGCGCCCGGAGCCGGAGGTGAGGGGCGGGCGGGCGCAGTGCGGCCATGGCCTCCTTTGGGTCTGGAGGCGACTGGGCCGCGCAGCCTGGGCGGGAACCGGCCCAATTCCTAAGGCCAGGTTCATTTGAACCTCCTTGCTGCGGTCCCCAGTTTCCTCGGGGGGGCTAGAGGAGAAGCTCGTTACTTTGTTTTGTTTACTGAAATTTCATCCACGTCGCTGACTTTAGGGCTCTTGGATACTTTGTCCTAATAATGGTATTAACAAAACCTGTGTTTTGATTTTATATCGCAGTTTCAGCGGGCAGCAGGGCGATAGACTTACTTCGCCGGTTTCTTGCATTTCTGCAAACATTGGAATCCCCTAAACATCATGAAATAATTTATTTCTAGCACTCGTAATTAGGGAAAGAAGCTCTAGTTTCGTGGAAAAAAAACTTGACTCAGAGTGAAACCTCATTCCAGTATTACCCAAATGGCTGATTTCGGGCAAGTCTTCGCCTCCCAGATCTTGTTTCCTTCTTCCTAAAATACCTGTCTTCTGGTGCGTTGTGAGTACCACGTGTGTTAAACCAGAAAATGAATTTGAGTTGTATATTAGGTCGTAAGGACCACACGAAGAACATAGCGTACGTTGTGTTATTCAAACCTGTGCAAGGAAGTGGCAATACCTATTCTCATTTACAGGTAAGGAAACTGAAAAGTGAGAGGTTAATTAAGTACCTTATCCAAGTGCTACTCAGCCAGCAAGTAGCATTCTGGAGGAACAACATCACTAGGAGAGGTGTCCAATATCACAAGAGGATAAATGAGTGGGTGGGAAGGGTGAGGGGTTTGTGTGATGACAAGCGGTAGTCATTACTTACTGAGTGCTTGCTGCATAGCAGGCACTATTCTAAGCACTTTACCAATACCAATTAATGCTCTCATCCCTGTGAAGACACTCCAGTGTTAACATCCCCAGTTTTTAGTTGTGGAAACTTAGGCACAAGAGATACTCAGAGCAACCAAGTTACACAGCTAGTGAGTCATGAGCCAGGGGTCCTAAACGGGTGGTCTGGCTCCCGATCTCATGTTCTTAACCATGATGTTTATAGTATAAAAATAAAGTAGGGACAAGATAGTAAATCTCCAGGGTTTTGGGTTTTTTTTGTTTGTTTGTTTTTATGGGTTTGTTTTTTTTTTTTGTCAATCTCATGTGATGAAACCAAAGATTAGGAAACTACCTTATTTAAAATAGTCACACATGTTCATAGGGATGGTGGAATAGCCCATACATCAGAAATATCAGAATTGAGAAAAGCATGAAAAATTTTGGAGTCTGATTTTTTTATAGATTAAAATGAGAGGAAATAAAAATGGGGAACAATGCTTTCTAGGCAGATAGTCTAAAACAGCACTGTCCAATAGAAATCTAATGTCAACCATATATGTGAGTTTTGTAGTAGCCACATTTTAAAAGGTAAAAAAAAAAAGAAACAGGTGAAAATTTTAGTAATATATCTAACCCTATATTTCTGAAATATTCAACATGAAGTAAATATTTTCGATGATGAGATATTTAACATTCTTTTTTTGTACCAAATCTCTAAAGTCCAATGTGTATTTTACACTTCAGCACATGTGGTTTTGGACTAGCAACACTGCAAATGCTCAGTAGCCTTATATAGTAGTAGTTAGCACACTGAATAGTGCAGATCTAACGTAACTTGGAGTCAAAACACACTCTCTGGGTTCCCATTCAGCCAAAGGCTAAGCATTTGTTAAGTTTTTGATTTGCATTTCTGAGAACTTAATCTCCGGAAGAAAAGGGAATGAAGAGTTCTTCTGCCCGTGGGCAGAAAAGTGACTGACTTGTAGAGGTTGTTGACAATCTCAAGAGAGAAAGATTGGGCACAGTCAGATTTAAGAAATCATTCACTCCTCAAATACTTAAAATATTTTGAGTGCTGTTATGGACTCAGAATTGTCCTAATTATCGGGGTGGATGTGTAGTAGTGTAACACGTGTTTCCTATTTTAATGGAGTAAATAAACATTGAATTATAATAAGTGCTGCAAAGGAAAAATACAGAGTGAATGAGTATTTAATGGGTTCTTAACCTACTTTATTAAGAAGTGGTGGTGGCAGGGGTGGATCAGGAAGCTGCTTCAGGTGAATGACATTGAAGCCTTAAGAATGAGTAGAAGTTGCCCAGAGAAGAGGCCAAGTGCATTATAGGCAAAGATGATAGTGAAAATCCTGAGGTGAGAAAGGGCCTAGAGCCTTCAGAGAACTGGGAGGAGGCAGCTGCTAGTGTGGGAACAGTGTGACGATGAGAATAGCTAGCAGTGCTTACTAAATGTCATCCAACAGTTCTAAAATCCCCATGAAACAGGTACTGTCATTATCCCCGTTTTACAGATGAGTTAACTAAGGCAGAGTTTAAGTAACTTCACCAAGGTTTTATACTAATAAGCAACAGAACAAGTGTTTGATCCTAGGAGCTCTAACTTAGGGGGACATGGGGGAAAGATGAGGCTGGAGAAGATTCTGGTTGAGGTCATGCTCGAGTTTTAGGCTTTCGTCATATGTATAATGGTAAGGAGGTTTCAGACAATTCAAGGGGTAGAAATGCCTACATTTTTTATGGGACCCTTAACAGAAAACAGCACACGTGTTTGACTATACCTTAAATACAAGGTGATAGGTGCAAAAAACAACAAACTAATGAGATGGGAATGTTTCCTTTGCTCTGATGTGCATGATAGGCAGCACAGTACCTGATGATGTTTTATTCATCTTGTTATAAATGGTATGTAGACCTCAGTAGTTGTTCCAAAGAATGACAGGCTTCCTCTGGCATTGTTCTGACTCTCTTGTTTAATTACAGCAACATCCTTATGACATAGATATTCTTGTCTACATGTTATCAATGAAGAAACAGGCCTGGAAATATTGGGTAACTTGACCAAGCTCACCTAGACAGGAAGTAGTAGAACCAGCTTTGATTCCAGATCTCTTGGCTCCAAAACCCTGCTTTCTCTTTGCCATACTACTCTGAGAGTAAAGCACTTTAGACTCAGGGGAATGAAATATTAAGGACTTGAAGCTCTGTATGAGTGTGTAGATGCTGTGAGAACACAACTAATTCAGGGATTCCCAACACCGAAGTGAAAGAATCACTTGGGGAGCTTGTTAAATGTGAATTCCTGAACCCTATCAACTCTAATTCATTTGGAGTGGGGTGGTGCCCAGGATTCTGCCCTTTAATAAGCACCCCAGGTGTTCCTGATGCAGCTGGCCCTTGGATCACACTTTGAAAAATACCATTTGAGCTGCTTAAATCTTTTTAAATCTCCTGGTTCTGATAAATTACATCTGGAATGTGAAGAAAACTTAGAGATGTTTTGAAAACATGGTGGTTGATTTTAAAGAACCACATGTAAGGGGGAATGTTGTAAGAAAGTTTGAGTTAGACAGGTGTTCCTGGTTTCGAGAGTGGATTCTATGAGAACTGACTGATGAACTAAACCTCAGCTTGGCCTTGGACAGTCAGGCCATCATTCAAAATAACTTTTGAGACAAGGTGGAGAAATGTAATTAAGCAGCCTACTAATAATCTGAAGAAAGTTTTCTACTAGCATAGTGCCGGTGTATACCCTCCATCTGGTTCATCCTTCTTTCCCTCCTCACTTAGCAAACGATGCTTAATCTTCAGTGTCCCTTTCTCCTAAGATCCTAGCCTGGGACAGGTTACTTGGTTACATGCTGTCATAGAACCACATTCTTATCCTTTGGTGAATATATTCAGTTTACAATAATATAATAATTAGAGTGATTATTTGGTTTTTTTTCTCCATTGGGTAGATTTCATGAGAGTAGAGAATGCCGATTTTTGCTTTCCATTGTATCCTTAGGACCACTTAGCCCCCTGCTGGCATGTGGCAGCCTCTCTGTAAACTTGGCTGATGAATGAATGCAAACTCACCTTGCCTTTCTCCTCTTGGAACTTGGATAAGACTTGATGATATCCTGATCAAATTAGTGGGGAAGTTGAGCTAGAAAGAGATTTATTAGAAGACAAAATAGCCCTCTAAGCTTCACAACAGAATAGTTGACTGAATTTATCCAATACGATAGGACTAATGGAATAATTGTATGTGTCCCCCCAAAAAGCCAGCTACATGAGGACAGAATTGTGTGTGTGTGTGGCGGGGGCGGGGGGGCAGGATTGTATCTTAACAGCAACACAAGTGAGGAAGTCATCAAAGTTCCCTGACTGTGGTGTGGTAGAGCTTCTAAAACGTATAAGCAGAACCTAGGGGACTCTAAGTCTGTCCGTTTAGCTGTGCATTGCTTTCCATTCTGGCCCCCACATTTTAAGTTGAAAAGTAGATCAGCCAAAATTCATTCCTAGGCATATGATAATACAAGATAAAAAGTGAGGAAATTTGAAGCCACACTGTTTGAGACATATTTAAAGAAACTGGAGATGTTTATTATGGAAAAGCAAAAACTTGGGGCCATCACCAGATGTTCGATAGACTCGGAAGCGACTGGTTAGCGGCTTCCTTGTCATTTTACTGGTGTGCGCATTTACACTGTCGTGCGCCATCACGGTAGCTGGTGGTATGTTACAGAGGAGAAACTGAAGCTCAAGCCCATAGTCTTAGCAATCACATCACACGATTTTTTGTTTCAAAATCTATTATAATCCTACCAGAACCCCTCCCCAGATTCCAAGAACACTAAAAAAGAAAACACTAGAAAAGAACAGACTAGTGAAAAACTGGTTTTTTTAAAAAAAGAAAAACAGCTTTCTTGTAAGCAAAGGAAAAGTCCAAACAATAGAATAGGCTAATTTTTCCATAAAGCGAATGGATGAGGAAGAATGGAAACTCTTGAACAACAAAGTAGAAATTAATAAAAGTGAAAAATTAAGGATAGGTGGTAAATTATGAGAGCGATTTCTCCTTCATGCACTTATTCAACAAATATTTAAATACCTAGTTCACCTTGGCACTGTGCTCTTTGCTAG